GCCTAACTGGAATATTTGAATCGCCACTATGATCCAAACGGGCAGCATCGCCAAATTCATCGTCTTCATCACCACTGAAACCCATAAACATTGGCCTGCGTAGCAAGCGTCTCCGTGGAGTTTAGGAGCAAAGAAAGACCGAGGTACTGAGGAACGGGATTTTCAGTGTTTTCGGAAATTGGGGCGAGAGCCAAAAAAAGAAAGATGGGGGTGGGGGAGGGGAAGGAAGGAAACGCTTGCAGACAAACCCCGTGCGCCAGCGAACGGGGCTCGTGTTTGGCTGAGCTAGTCGAACTTCTGAGAGCCCGGGCTTGTTTACATAAACCCTCAACTTTTCTCGTAACCTGAGTGTACCCCGCGAGTAAGAAAAGCCTGATACTCATGCTACTTTTCTCGCCGAACGAGGATTTAGTCGTGAGCCTCGACAGTACGATGGAAATACTGTAGAGCAGTGCCGACGCTTTGGTATTTCAAAGCCTGCACATTTTTGCAGAAGCAAGTGTGACACAGCATCAACATCACTTTCTTGAATGCCACATGTGCCAAGGACAAGATAATAACCACGGGACAGAAAATTCGCACTACTTTGTGGGAAAACACAGTGATTTCGTCTAGGTTGTTACATAGAGGGGTGGCGAATGGTAAATGCGAGACTTCGCGAGACAGCAAGACAAGCGTTTTTCTTTGCGAGCCCGAGACATTTTGACTTTGTAGATTGCAAGATCGAGACTTCAAAGCGTTTTGAGTGCGAGCGCGAGACGTTCAGACTCTTAAAATTCAAGCCCCAGATTTAGTTGAGAACTAGAATGAGTTTGTACAGCCTTAAACCAGCTTCTTGGAACTGACTTGGAACTGACTTGGAACTAAAAATTCGATTATAACACACTACCTTATGATATCCTAGAGAAAAATAACTGTTTTTCTGGCACCAAAACGGACGTTGTGAAAGGTTTTGTACCTTTTTGTGGAATGCTAGGATTAAATTCTCAGTCAGAAAATTTGTAAGCTGCTTCATTGAAATTCAATATCAAGTGAAGTCGGAAGACGTCATTTATAAAAACAGGAAAAGGAATGAATTGAGACTTCGAGACCTTTAGCCTTGCGAAAAATCGAGACTCCGAGACAGCTTCGCATAAAAATCGAGACTGCCAGACGCACCTAATCGCTAAAAAATGAGACTACGAGACCCGTGAAATTCGACTAAAATTTTGCGAGACCCAGAGTTTTTGAAGGACCATTCGCCACCCCTACATAGCAACATGTTTTCATAGGTACTCTGACATTTCATTAGAAGTATTTTTGCTGACAGTATTTAGAACCTCTGGGTACAATAATGAATGATTAATTTTGTTATAGTGTTAGCTGCGGCGTGCCAGTTGTTATTGTCACATATTTGCCTTACCAATGCAAACATTTACTCTTCTCGTCGCGGGGAATTCTTACGAGGACATTTCCAGAGTTGATTCTATAAACAAGGCCGCTTGGAGGAAGATTATCAATATTCAACTACTGGTCAAGATTATCGTCATTTTCCTTCTCAGACGTTTGAACCCTCTCTTGACCAAATTCCAAAGTTTTCCGAGAAGACTTTCCGTTGTTTGTTTTTGTCACAGGCGATAAGACTCGAACCGATTTGTGCATCTGGCGTTTCCAGCAAACGCTTCTTTACTGGAGTTGACTTTATAGGAGTTGACTTACTAATTTTGCCTTGTATCGATTCCTGGACGAATGAATACAGTGATCCAAGATTTCGAATATTGCGAGCACAAAGATTACAAACGCGACTTGAATAACGACGCAACTTCCGGTCCCGTGAGGTGTGCATGGCAATATGGGGGATAAGGCATGGGTCGCACTGTGGACATTTTTTTGTTTTTGTCGCGTCATAAATTGTCACAGAAGTTTGTGGGGACCTTTACTCCCAGAGGGTTATTGAGGTCGCACGTTTGCGACATAAAAGATATATGATACCATTCTGATAATAATTATTATGTTATCGGTCCAAACGGCTGCAAAGCACTTTCTCATCGTCAAAGCACCATTGGGGGAT